GTTGACGATGTTACGATAACTTCCGACCAATGCTCAACGATTTCACGTGTCGCTGGTTTCGGCCTCCGAGGGCTCCTGTTCAGCCTCCTGGGCGCCAGGGGACGGACCCGGTATGAAGTGCCCCGCGGGGGAACCTCGAGATGGCTTCGCCGCTGGCCGTGAGGGAACAGGGGCGAGGTACAGTCGGGGCGTTGACCTAAGGAACCCTAAATGAGGAACGAGGCCCCTATTTTCCATAAGTTAAACTTCGATTTCCTGTCGAAAACATGAGGAAACGGAGCCCCTCCCCAACGAAAAGGGTTCCTTCTTCAGGGCCCCGACTGCACAAGGGGACAGGAAGAGAGAAGAGTGGACGGCGGAGCGGGGCAGGCTGTCGCCAAGCGTGCCGGAGCGGATTTGGCGCCGGTCCACGGGCCTGCCCTGCGCAAGGGCGCGGGCGGGGAAGCGCCGAACGAGCCGGCGCAGACGACGAGCCCGCGGGCCCGCGCTCGACGGCTTCAGGAAAAGGCTCGAAGGCAGAGGCGGCGTGTAAAACGCTCCTCCTCCTCCTCCTCCGCCTCCTCCTCCTCCTCCTCCTCCTCCTCCTCCTCCTCCTCCTCCGCCTCCTCCTCCGCCTCCTCCTCCTCCTCTTGTCCGCGGCCGGGGCCCGCGGTCCAGAGTGTTTCTTCCCGCGCAGCTCGCGGACGAAATCCAACACGCCGCCCCTGCGTTCCATACCCTCTCCCGCGCCGTCGGGCACAGTGGTGGAGAAGCAGTTCCCAAAGCCTCCCGGGGTCCGTGTGGTGGCGCCATGATTGAAGGGGCCCCAGGACACACAAATAAATACACACAAATAAAAAATGTCCCATATTTTCCCATATCTTCTGGGTTTCTGTCTTCCCGCCCGCTCTCCATATTTTCCAATATTTTCTGAGGAATCGAGGATTCATTGTGTCTGAGTGTTTTTTCCTGTCCTGAATGATCACACCGGATGCCTTTTTTGGCGCCCCTGGGGCGCGAGAACGGCCCCTAGAGCACCAGGGGATGGAACGGGTCCTGCAAAAGCCACTCCTGACGAGCACCTCGGATTGATCAGACGAGCTCCTGGGTCTAGCATAGACCAGACGAGCTCCAGGGCGCTCGGCGGCCGGAGGCCTTCGTCATCGTCGTTGTTCTTCTGTCGTCTGCGTCGTCGACGATGTTTCGATACAATCGGCCCTTACCATGAGGATGCGTGACTAGGATGCAAGGGCCGTGGACGCTCACCTCGAAGCTCTTCGAGCGGAGCGCGGCCAACAAAAGTGGCCAAGGATGGACCGAGGAGGCAAGGATACAAGGGTACCCCTTGGAATGTTGCCCATCCTTATTATGCGGGTTGACGGTAGAAGCGCCTGCTGAGGCTCCCTGGCGCCAAGGACAGCGCCCAGGGTGAAGTGGTCCGCGGGGGCACCCTCCGTGGGTTGCGCCGCTGGCCGTGCGAAAGGAGGGAGGAGGTAAAAGGGAGACAGGAAGAGAGAAGAGTGGATGGCTGAGAGGGGCAGACTATCGCACAGCGTGCGGAGGCGGACTCGGCGCCGGTCCACGGGCCTGCCCTGCGGAACGGCGCGGGCGGGGAGACGACGGACGAGCCGGCGCAGACGACGTGGCTGCGGGCCCGCCCCCAACGGCACCGGAAAAGAAATTGAACGCAGAGGCGCCGTGTTGAATCAATTAGGTCCGCGGCCGTGGCCTGGGCGCCGGAGCGCTCGCCCCCTCGCTGGTCGCGGACAAAATTTCACACGGGGCGGTTGCGTTTGACACTGACCCCCCTGACCTCCCAGAGTGCTCAAAAACAACACCCCAGACCTCTCCGGGCTGCTTAAAATCTCGACTGGGATTGGGGCATTCAGGTCCAAAGTGCTATTTCTTAGCCCTCCTGGAAGGTCAGGGTCCTTGACGCCCCGCGGGCTCCAAGAGAGCCAGCGGGCCGTTTGCTGCTCTGCACAGCTGCCGGGGCCTCACGGGGTGGAGGGCGCCTGGAGGCGCGAAGCCCCGGGCCGACGGACAGACATCCTGGAACGTGTTGTCTCGGCGCGCTCTCGGGGGTCCCCACTGGGGGCTCTCTTGGCCCGGAGTTTGGGGCCTCGTGGAGGCCTCCTCCTCCTCCTCCTCCTCCTCCTCCTCCTCCTCCTCCTCCTCCTCCTCCTCCTCCTCCTCCTCCTCCTCCTCCTCCGCTCCTCCCTCCTCCTCCTCCCTCCTCCTCCCTCCTCCCTCTCCTCCTCCTCCTCCTCCTCCTCCTCCTCCTCCTCCTCCTCCTCCTCCTCCTCCTCTCCTCCTCCTCCTCCTCCTCCTCCTCCTCCTCCGCCTCCTCCTCCTCCTCCTCCTCCTCTCCTCTCTTCCTCCTCCTCCTCCTCCTCCTCCTCCTCCTCCTCCTCCTCCTCCTCCTCCTCCTCCTCCTCCTCCTCCTCCTCCTCCTCTTCTGGGGGCCTCAGAGGCATGGAGGCCCTCTAGGTCGCTCTTGGGACCTCGTTGGGGCTGTCTCGGGCTCTTGGAGCCCTCTTGGGGCTCTCTGAGCCCGTGCCCTCTTGAGCGCCGTCTTGGGGTCCTCTTGATCCGTCTTGGGGCCCTCTTTGGGGCCTCTTGGGCCGTCTCGGGCCACTGTGGAAGGCCCCTGGCGCCGTCTTGGGCGGTCGGACACCCGAAAAGGGGATCAACCTAAAATCCTTCAAAAACCAAAGGGGAATCCTTTGGCCGTCTTGACGGCATCTTGGACAGTCTTGCAGCCCTATCGGGTCGTCTTGGGGCCCTCCTGAGCGTCCCAGAGCCGTCTTGGGACAGTGTGAGGCCGTCTTCGGGCTCTCTGAAGACTCTCAGGACGGCCAAGGGGGGTGGGAGACATTTGAGCTCCAGGGCTTTCTCGCACGCAAGTGCGCCTGCAAGCGTACTGTGCCCCCGCGGATGCAATTCACGATTTGCTGAACCTGGGACTCGCAAACCTTAGGCCTCATCTACAGAACAAGGCGTTCAAGCCGAGATGCTCGTGGAGCTCGTGAAGATGACGGGGAGGGGGGGGGAAAGCGCAGGTAGAGGACCTCGGAGCGCCTGAGCGTGCCGCGGAACCGACTCCGTGGAGGGGGGGGAACGGGGTGGTTGCCTGTCGAGACGAGCTGCGCTGTTGTTCTTGACACCGCGTGGAACGCTCGACACTGCACGATCGGCAGCTTTGAAGTCGCGAGATCGTTCAACGTCGGCCCATTCTGAACGAGTGTCGGCGTTGAGCCCTTGGTGCCAGCGCTGAGGTCGCCGCCGCGTCGACGCGACGCGAATCGGTGCACCCCTCCCCGCTGCTCGGTGAAGAGGGCCCATAATCTAGTTCTCGGGTGGCGCGAGACGGGGCAGGCAGCGAAGAGGAGGAACGACACGAGGAGGAGGAGGAGGAGGAGGAGGAGGAGGAGGAGCAGGAGGAGGAGGAGGAGGAGGAGGAGGCGAAGGAGGAAAAGGAGGAGCAGGAGGGAGAAAGGAACGAGCGCTCCAGGAGGCGCGGAGATGCACTCCTCCTGCCTCGGGCGCGGCCCAGCCGACATCCTGTGTGACGGGCGCTCCCATGACGACCTCCCCGCTCTGGAGGTCCTCCTCCGGCTGCGTGCGTGCGTCTTGCGGTGAGGCAAGGAGGCCGCCCTGCATGGGGCCGTTCCTGAGCCACGTCCCGTCGGGCTGCGAGCGGGGCGCCCCAGTCCACAAAACCCACTGCGATAGTACTCCGCCATGACGTTCTTGCCGGGGCGCACACTCCACACGTGGCCGTGCATCGCCTCCCCGGCATTCGGGGCCTCCTGGGGGTCTGTCTGGGGCCTCAGGGGACACTCCTGGTATATTGGGATGTCTCTTGGGCCGTGTCGGGGGCATAGTGGGTCATCCTGTAAGCCTGTCTGGGCCCTCTGGAAGGCCTCTTGCGATATTTTGGGCGCCTCTTGGGCCGTTCCTGGTCTGTCCCCCAGAGCCCCTTCTGGAGGACAACCCGGGAAGCTTATTTTGGAATCGCCTTGGAGCCTTCCTGGGGTGTCCTTGGGGCCCGAGGGCGCTGTGGGGACCCTCTTGGAGCAGCCTTGGAGGGCGCATGGGGCTCTTTGGGGCTGTCTTCAGGCGCTCTTGGGCCATCTTGGGGCCCTTTCGGGCCGTCTGGGGCCTACCTTGGGAGCATGATGGGCAATGATTGGGTGATCTAGGAGGCGCTGGGAGCCGTGTGGAGCCTATGATCTGCGCCTCGTGGAAGCGTCGTCGGGGTCCTCTTGGGCCGTCGTGGGAGGCCTCCTGGCTTGTTCGGGGGCCGTTTTGGGCCATTGTGACGCTCGCTTCAGGCTCTCTGAAACCGTCTAGACGCTCTCACGAGCGTCTCTGGGCCGCCGATGAACGTCTGGGGACCTTCTAGTAACCGTCCAAGGCCGTCCAGGACCGCCCCAGGAGCGCCGGGGACTGTATAGCTAGGTCGGGCATGTCCTCCCACATGTGGGTTTTCTGAACGACAAATGAAGAATAGTCCAAACATGCTAATAAATTGTCAAGAATAATCAAACAAAAAACAAAACAAAAAAAACGTCCCCATACTAATTTTTGACTGTTTTGAATATTCACCCTGTGGAGGGACAGGCCCGACTTAACTGTGTGGCGGCGACCCAGGAGCGCCGCTGCAGACGCCCCGGGCCGAGCCGCGGCAGCGCAATCTCTCGCGCGCGCGGGTCCCGGTGCTGCAGCATAGATACAAATAACAGTTGGCTCCAGCCTCACTTCCCACATCCCGCTGAGCAGCGATAGAGCCCACTGCCACTGCTCGCCTTTCTCGCACGCGCTGATCCCAGCGCTGTAGAGAACGACGTCGAGCTCCAGGTTCGCCTCCGACGCCTCGCGGAGCAGCGACAGAGCCTGCTGCCACTGCCCACCCTTCTCGCACGCGCTGACCCCAGCGCTGTAGCTGCGGACACTCGGTTCCAATGCTATTTCCCACATCCTGCTGAGCAGCGATAGAGCCTGCTGCCACAGCCCACCCTTCTCGCACGCGCTGATCCCAGCACTGTAGCTGGTGACGTGGGGCTCCAGCTTCACTGTCCAAAGCTCGCTCAACAGCGCCAGAGCTCGCTGCCACTGCTCGCCTTTCCCGCATGCGCTGATCGCAGCGTTGTGGCTGATAACAGTTGGCTCCATCATCATTTCCCACATCCCGCTAAGCAGCGCCAAAGCTTGTTGCCACTGCAAGCCTTTCTCGCACGCACTGATCCCAGCACTGTAGCTGATAACAGTTGGCTCCAGCCTCACTTCCAACATCCCGCTGAGCAGCGACAGAGCCCGCTGCCACTGCAGGCCCTTCTCACACGAACTTATCGCAGCGTTGTAACTGTTAACAACTGGCTCCAGCCTCACTTTCCACATCTCGCCGAGCAGCGACAAAGCCCGCTGCCACTGCTTGCTTTTCTCGCACGCGCTGATCCCGGCGTTGTAGCTGACTGGTAATGATAGGATGTACCCATGGAGCAAGCCCGCAAAGTGCCCTGGCAGGGGAACGCGGCGGAACCGACAGGCAGCGAGGGCCTCGTGGCTGGCAGACTGGCTGGCAGATTGGCGGCAGGGGGGCCCGAGGCCGCCCCGGGAGGACCCAGAACCACCCCCCGATGGCACCTTGGAGGCCTTCAGGGGCAGCCCCAGGGCGCTGGAGCCATGGGAGGAAATGGGGCTGCATTTCCTCACGTTGCATGCGTCGGGCTTCCAGGCGCAGGGCCAGACGGGCCAGGGGCCGCCCCGAGGGGACGTGCAACCGTCTCCAGATGGCACCTTGGAGGCCTCCAGGGGCAGCCCCAGGGCGCGGGAGCCATGTGAGGAAACGTCTTGGGCCGTCTATGGGATCTTTGGAGCCGCGTTGAGATCCTCTTCGGAGGCCTCTTGGCCGGGCCTGGGGCGATCTTGGGAGCTGTTGGGCCGTCGTGGACGCTGCAAGGGCCCAACAGTCGGGTACGCTCGAATGTTAGAAAAGCCTGCGGATAACACTACATGTTTGCACCGGAAGGCCCTGCTGGGCGTACTCTTGGAGCGCTCTGGGAGCCTTTCGAAGTGTCTTGCAGCCGTCTGGAGGCCGTCTTGGGCTGTCTTGGGACCTCTGAGGCCGTCTGGACGCCATCTTGGGCCATCTTGAGGCCGTCCTCGGCCGTGTCGGAGGCCTCTTCGGCGAACTTGGAGGCCTCTTGGACTCGCCTGGGCCGTCTGGGAGGCCCAGGCCCTCCCGGCTGGCCCGTTCTGGCAGGCTCCCCCCCCGGGCGCGGCCACCGGAGCGATGCACCACGCGCTGCTCCCAGTGCTGCAGGCCAGACTCAGGGCTGGCCCGTGGCCTGCCGGCCGCGAAAGCTGTCCGAGATGGCACCAGGAGACAAGCACCCAGGCTCCATGGAGCGTCTGAAACCAAAATGTTGGGCCCTTGGGGGTCCCTCTCGGGCTGTCTTGGAGGCCTCTTGGCCCGTCTTGGGGGCCATGTTGGCGCTCTTGGGCCGTCTTCGAGCTCTCTGTGGGCCCCGTGGAGCGGCTCTTGGGACAGTTAGGAGGCCTTTTGGGGCTCCTCGTGGGGCCCTGTTGGGCGCCTCTTGGGGCTCTCTTGGGCCGCCTTGGAGCCCTCTTGGGCCGTCTGGATGCCCTGCTCCGCTGTCTGAGGCCCTCATCGGGGGCGTCTGAGCCGCTTTGAAGCGATCTATCAGGCTCCTAGAGGCGTTCTCGGTCATTCTTGGCCCGAGATGGCGAGAATCTAGAAATCCTTCAGATCAAGAGCCCCAGAAAATATGATTTTGGCGGCCTCGGGCCGTCGTCGGGATCCTCCGGGGCAGTCTTGGGAGGCTCGCGTGTGCTTGTTGCTACTTGTAGATAGACTGCTTGCTTGCTCCTAGTGTTGCTTGCAAACAGCTTGCCTATTTGTTTTGGCTTGTTGACTGTTTGCTGCGTGCTTGACCGCTGGTTGGCTTGCCTGCTGCTTGCTGCTTGCGTTATTGCTCCTTGCTGGCTTGCTTGCTTGCAGCTTGCAGCTGCGTCTGCTGCTGCTGCTGCTGCTGCTGCTGCTGCTGCTGCTGCTGCTGCTGCTGCTGCTCCTGCAGCTGCTGCTGCTGCTGCTGCTGCTGCTGCTGCTGCTGCTGCTGCTGCTGCTGCTGCTGCTGCTGCTGCTGCTGCTGCTGCTGCTGCTGCTGCTGCTGCTGCTTGCTGCCTGCTGCTTGCTGCTTGCTGCTTGCTGCTTGCTGCTTGCTGCTTGCCGCTTGCCGCTTGCCGCTTGCCGCTTGCCGAAAACTATACTGGGCTCTCCTGGACTGAATCTGGGCCTTCGTGAGCTACCTTGGAGCTCGGCAGGGCCATCGGGGGGGGAGGGGGCTGTCGGGAGCGGCGTCGTGGGCCGCCCTGGGACGATCTTGGGCCGCCTCGGGGCCGTCTCAGGGCCACAACTAAAACTGAGAAGCGCATGTGCGCCTTGTTCTCCAGCGATGTTCCATCGTGGCTGCCACCGTCCGAGGCTGGGCGGAGGCGCGCGGGCTGTGTTGGCTCAAGGGTAGGCAGAAGGCACTACGGAACATGCCCCCGGTGGCCAGCGGGCCTGGAGCACTCTGGCGGGTCGCCCACTCAGACTGGAGCCCAGGAGGCTCCTGCGAAGCCGTATTGGATCCGTCGCGCGTCGAAGCACCTGGTAAGCAAAAAATGCTGACTCGCGAAGAGGTCGTGACTGAGTCTGTGGTCTTGCTGGGGACGGCTCCTGGAAGGCCGCCTGGCGTCTGCGGGCCTCCTGGGTCTCTCCTGGAGACGATTGGAGCTTCCTCTTTTTTTTTGCGGGGGCCGGAGTGATGAAATTAGGCGGGAGGTCCCAACATAGCAGGTACAGTGCATAGCAGCAGACAGGGCGCTGTGTAACAGTTTGTCCGCCCAGAGGGCTTGTGTGATAGAGTCCCTATGGGGTGCTTCTTGGGGTGCTCTGACGAGCCGCTCTGGGAGCCAGCTCTGCCAGCTCTGGCCCTCGCGGGCCCCGTCGGAAAATGCATCGGGCCGTTTCGGGACGTCTTGGCGCGCCCTTGGGCCGCCCGGGGCCCGCAGGGCGGCGCAGAAGCCGCCCGGGGCAGCCCCGGGGGGAGGAGGACGAGGAGGACAAGGAGGACGGGGAGGAGGAGGAGGAGGAGGACGAGGAGGAGGAGGAGGAGGAGGAAGAGGAGGAGGGGGAGGAGGAAGAGGAGGAGGAGAAGGAGGAGGAGGAGGAAGAGGAGGAGGAGGAGGAGGGGGCCGAGATGACACTTGGTTCCGAGGCCTTTTTGCTGCACGCACTGTGTCGCAGAACTGAAAGGACGATGACGCTGGGCTCCAGCTTCGCCTCCCAGATCTCTACGAGCAGCGCCAAAGCCCGCTGCCACTGCTTGCCCTTCTCGCACGCGCTGATGCTCGCGTTGTAGCTGACTGGGGCGAACCCATGGACTTCGTCCACGTCATCTTGGGCCAGTCTTGGCTCGAAAAGGCCGTCTTGGGCCTGTCTTCGCTCGAAATGGCGAGAAGGTGGAAATCTTTCAGAAAACATAGAAGAATCAATAATTTCGTTTGCCACGGCTCGTCCAGAGCGTCTTCGAGCGGTCTTGGGCCGTCTCGGAGGCCCTCTTGGACCGCTTCCTTCTCTTCGTCCGCCTTCCGCTCTACCTCAGCCTAGACAGCCGTCGGAGCGTCACAGACGGCTATAGTGGGTCTGCGGTGTACGTCTCGCCGCTTGTCAATTTTGAAAGCACCTGGGGCCTTGGAAAAAGTCACCCGGAGGGCTCTGGTGACATTTTTCCGGCTGCCTCTTCGAAGCCTGATGGCGGGCGCTGCCGTCTCCTTGGGAACGGTTAGTGGGCCTCTCGGGGTTTCTTTTCGAGCTCCTGGGGGCCTGTTGGGGCCTCGTTGGCTGTCTTGCGGCCTCCTAGGGGCCTCTTGGGGCCCTCTTGGGCCGTCTTACGGCCTTCTGGGGGCCTTTGATTTTTTGGGGGGCGCCTCTGGGGCCGTTCCCGGGCTGTCCCCCCGAGCCTCTTCCGAGGGACAGCCCAGGAAATAGATTGTGCTTGCGTGTGTGCGTGCTCCTGTGTGAGAGGTCGGAAGGGTGTCCCGACGTCACCGCTCGCTCTTAGGAGCTGTGCCTGGGAGAGCTCTCTACGTTGCGTCTCGCTCTTGGGAGCCTTGGTGGGAAGAGCTTGTACTTCACCGATCGCTCTCTTAGTGGGCGTCTCTGGGCCTGCTTGGTGGTCCTTGTGGGTTTTTTTTCGGGCCATTCTGATGCTTTTTGGGGCTGCTCTGGGAGCGTTTCGGGACATCTTGGAGCCTTTTTGGGCCGTCACGGGGCGTCCAGGAGGCCTTGGACCGTCTTGGAGCTCTCTTGAGGCTGCCTGAGGCCGTCTTGGGAGCCTCTTAGAGTCCCCTCGGATCTCTCTTGAGGCCGTCTTGGGGTTCTGTAAGGCCGTTTCAGGGCTCTCTGGCGTTGTTTTGGGGCTCTGTGGGCCGTCTTGGAGCCCTCGTAGGGGCCGCAGGCGTCTTCTTGGGGCGATTTGAGGGGCCTCTTGGCGTGTCCTGGGCCGCTGAGGAGCACGCAAGGCGGGCATGCTAAAAATATATGCTTTCCCATGGGAATTTGACGATTTGTGCTTATTTGGCGTGCGCTCAGGGCCCTCTTGGGGCGTCTTTGCGGCCTCTTGGATCGAGCCCCCCCCAGAAGGCTTCGGGCCCTCGTGGGCCGTCTCGGGACCCACTGAGGCCGTCTTGGAGCGCTCTTGGACGGTCTGCGACCCCTCTGGAGCGCCTCTGGGACCGGCCTGAGCGATTCGGCCCCGTGGGGGCGCCGTAAAGGGGCGATTATGTACATTCTGAAACTTTTTGGGGCTGCTCTGGGAGCGTTTTGGGGCGTTTGGAAGCCTTTTTGGGCCGTCACGGGGCGTCCAGGAGGCCTTGGACCGTCTTGGAGCTCTCTTGAGGCTGCCTGAGGCCGTCTTGGGAGCCTCTTGAGGCCTCCTCGGAGCTCTCTTGGGGTCGTCTTGGGGTTCTGTAAGCAGTTTCAAAGCTCTCTGGCGTCGTCTTGGGGCGTTTGTGGCCCGTCTTGGAGCCCTCTTAGGGGCCGCAGGCGTCTTCTTGGGGCGATTTGGGGGGCCTCTTGTCGTGTCCTGGGCCGCTGAGGAGCACACAAGGCGGGCATGCTAAAAATATACGTTTTCCCATAGGAATTTGACGATGTGTGCATATTTAGCGTGCGCTCAGGGCCCTCTTGGGGCGTCTTTGCGGCCTCTTGGGGCGTCGTGAAGACCCCTCCGGAAGGCTTCGGGCCCTCGTGGGCCGTCTCGGGACCCACTGAGGCCGTCTTGGAGCGCTCTTGAACGGTCTGGCAACCCCTCTGGAGCGCCTCTGGGACCAGCCTGAGCGATTCGGCCCCATAGTGGCACACGAAGCGATTTTGCGCACACGAGGCCCTGTGAACCCTTCACGCACGCAGATCCACTGGCCATGTAGGAGAGACTAGCGCTGGCGAAATCTGTACGAAGTGGCATGTGATTGTGGACATGCTGCCAAAAGGCTGAAGTCATCATCGGAAGTGATTACACATTCGGACATTCCGTGACGATTCGTTGATTTTGGGGCCGCAGAAGCCCCCCCACTTTGGGGCGTCGCCACGCCATGCTGTGTCATGCTACGCGTTGCTATTCAACACTATAATATGCCATGTAACGCTATGCCATGCTACGACATCCGACTGTGCGAATAGAGAGAGGAGATCTACGCCATGGTAAGGGATGGGAGGAAGGGGTAGGACGTCAGATATGACGCGAGCGAGCTTAGCTTGTCATCCTCCCCCTCCTCCTCCCCCTCCTCGTGCTCCTCCTCCTCCTCCTCCTCCTCCTCCGCCTCCTCCTCCTCCTCCTCCCCCTCCTTGAAATCGTGCGGGCCCGAATCTGCTGGCAGCAACGCCTGTGGCAGAGGAGAGCGACGACGGGGAGGAGAAGGAGGAGGCCAAATATGCTTGGAAAAGATTACATCCCCACACCTGTTAGGACATGCTCGGCGCGAGAGGGGTCGCAGAAGCAGCGTTCCCTGATGTACGCGGCCGGATGGGACAGCTATGTTCTGCAACCCCTCCCGCGCGAGAGGTTTCCAGAACGGTGGGGAGCGCTGCTTTTTCCCATCATTGGAGCCTACGTATCCGAGCCGTTGGAAGGGAGCTGCTGGAGGCCTTCCAGGAGCCTGTGGGGTGTAGTCGCTCTCCCGTCAACTGGGGCCTTCTAGGAGCATGTCAGAGCTGTTTCGGGGGAGCTGCTGGAGACTTCCCGGGAGCCTCTGGGTAGTGTCCCCGAAGTCGTCTGGGAGCCTCTTGGGGGCTTCTTGGGAGCTTGCTGGCAGTGGGGGGCGGGATGGGGGTGGCAGGATCGCTCCCGAGTTGGCCCTGTGGGCCTCCCCTGAAGGCACCTGGGGGGACTGTTCGGCCGCCGTATTGGGTGTCCCCGGAGCCGTCTTGAGGGTCCCTAGGGCAGTCGTAGGGACTCTCTTGGGAACTCCCTGGGCGCCCTCCAGACGCTTTGGAAGGCTTCTCGGGGTGAGTTGGGCGTCTTTGGGCCAGAGAAGCGGTCGCAAGAGGAAGTACGAAAAGCCTCGGGAGTATCGATTGTCAGCTGTCCTCGCGGCCCTGTCGGAGGCCATAAGGGAGCCTTGTGGAACCTGGTGGGGGTCTTCTCGATACGTCGGTGAGCCCCCTCACGCTGCAGAGGGGCACTCTGGGGGCCCTGCGGGGCGCTCGCGGGGCTCTCTATCGGGGCATGGCGTCGGCGCCCCCGGAGCGGAGCCGCGGAGGCGCCGCGGGGGGGGGCGGCCAAGAGCGGCCCCCCTTCTGGCGCGCTCCATGCCCGGCAGTGTAGGGATGATTGACGTTGGGCTCCAAGTTCGCCTCCCGCATCTCGCTGAGCAGTGCCAGAGCCCGTTGCCACTGCTCGCCCTTCTCGCATGCGCTTATCCCAGCGGTGTAGCTGACCAGGGCGGGCCCGTGGCCTACCGGCCACGAAATCGGCTCGGGGTGGCACGTGGGGTCGGGGCGAAGACTCTGTCCGAAGGCTTTCATGATGACGCTGGGCCCGAAGTTCGCTTCTGCTGCTGCTTCCTGCGGCCGCAGGGAGCGGCTGCCGCTGCATGTTGCTGCTTGATTCGTGTTTTGCTGTGTGTTCCCGCCGGTGTGCTGGTGCTGTTCGAGGCTGTTGCTTGAGGCTGGGCTTCGGGGCGCTGCTTCTCAGTACGCTTGCCAGCTGACATAACCTGCTGTCCAGGAGCTGGTCGAGTAGGGAGAAGCGAGGAGCAAGGAGCGAGGAGTCAGGGTCGAGGAGGGGAGCGGAAAAGGCGAGGAACTGCTAGCAAGGAGCAAGAAGCAAGAAGGGAGGAACGACGGCCGAAGAGAGAGGGGGGCGATGAGAGATGAGAGGCAGCCGAAGGAGGAGGGGGGTGGGAGGTGCTGGTAGACAAGATGGGGGGAGCAAATTGGCCAGGAAAGAGGAGCGAGGAGCCAGGAGCCAGGAGAGAACGGCGAGGAGCGAGGAGCCTTGAGCGAACAGCGAGCGAGGAGGGAGACCCGAAAAGAGGCCACGAAGTGAATATCCCAATAGCCTTGGCGCGCGTGTGGCCGAGCACCTGCTCTCCTCTCGGGTCGCCCATGGGGCCCTCCTGGGAACAACGAGGTGCCTTCTTCGGGCCTTCTCTGGCGAGCCTTGGGCTCCCCTGGGGCCCTCCCTCGCCTCCTGGGGCCCTCTGGGCGTCCCTTGGGGCTTCTGGGTGCTGTTGTGGAAGGGATCTTTCGGGCGCTCTGGGGGGGGCCTTGGGGCCATACCTTGGGAGCGTCTTGGGGCGAGCTTGGGGGCTGGCCACGCCCATATGGGGCAACTTGAGGGGCACCATGGGACCTCTTGGATGTGCCATGGGCCCCGTGCGGAGCGATCCGCAGCCAGAGTTGGAAGTGGTGCAGGTGCACGAAGACCTTTGGAATTATGCCGCCTTCGCCTGCTAGGAACCCTCGGCGTGGGCATCGCAGAGCCTCTCTCGGCGGCGAGCCCGGGGGAAAGTGATCAGGGGCAGGCCTTCTCAGAAGGCTCGGAAGGCCCTGGGCCTTCTGATAAGTTTTCTAAGCCTTTCCCGAAGACGCAGATAACTTCTCAGAAGGCGCGGGGCTTCTGAGAAGTCCCGCCGCCTTCTGAGAAGGCTTTCTCCTTCTCACTTCCACCCCTCGCTCGCCGCCGACTCTCGGGGCCACCTCGGCGCCGTCTTGACGTGTCGTCAGGTGATCTGCGGGGCCGCATGCGGCCCCCCGAGGGCTCCGCAGGGGAGACTGGGGCCGTCTCGGAGGCGCACTCGGGCTAGCCGAAGGTCCTCAGGAACTCCTCCTCCTCCTCCTCGTCCTGCTCCTCCTCCTCCTC